TTTTGATTCCCAAGTTGGATTTGGCCTCTACTCAGTTCCCAAATTACGATGCCTTTGTGGGTTTTGTGGACAGGTTCCTAGATGTCTCTAGGGAAGACAAGTCATGCTTGCACAAGCTCAAGCTAAGTGTTCAGAAGGATGTGAATGATCCGCCTTGTGTCACGCGGTGGATAGACTTTGTGGCTACTCCTAAACTTCAGCATCTTGATGTTGAGTGTCTTCGTGTGAAAGTGAATCGTGTGTGTTTGGAACTGATGCCTTTAAGAAAGCTCTATAGATGTGAGACGCTCGTTTACTTAAGACTCCATCAGGTTTTTGTGAGTAGTTTTGAGTCTGTTTCTTTACCTCGTCTCAAGACTATGCGTTTAGAAGACAATATCTATGCCAATGAGTCGTGTATGGAGTCTCTTATCTTGTCTTGCCCTGTTCTTGAAGATTTGAGCATTGTTAGAAGAGTATATGATAATGTAAAGGTTTTACGAGTGCGTTCTCAGACACTAATCAATAGTGTTTTGTTTTGACAGAGGAAACTGGGGGCTTTTGCTTGATGCCCCTAGACTCAAGCTTTTGAATTTCAATAATGAACGATCAGAGAGCAAAACCATATGCAATTTGGGTTCCTTAGCTAAGGTCACTTTTGCGAGCTCCTTTAGGATTCAAGATCCTTCTGATCAAGGAGTTGGCTTATCAAAGAACCAAATGGCCCGTAATTTTCTCACAAGTATCTCAAGAATTAGGGATATGATTATCTCTCGTAGGGCTTTCTATATTACTATATTGCCCCAGTTTTGCAACCTGTCCAGTTTGGAAGCAGAGCATTTTGTGCATATGAATTGAACACACTGCCAATGTCCGAATCTAAAATCCATCGTCTTGGTAATAAAAACTTGCACCAACCTAGAGGTTTTATTTTGTTTTATCATGCATTTAAAGAAAAGTGTTATTTATATTTGATTATTCATTAATAATATTTATGCATTTTGTAGGATTTAACTCATCTTGATAGGTTGATGAGTTCAATAAGGTTCTCGACCGTGCTTGTTGTCATCCCTTGAGTTTGTAGAGATAAAAAGCAGAGTCACGGGAGTAAGGTCTGTTGAAATTGAAGTTGCAAGGTACTTTGTACAAAACTCAGCACTTGTCAAGAAACTTGTTTTGCATCTCAACCGCTCCACGGAAAAAGAAAAAGTGGGACTCTTAAGGGATCTTCGCGCGAGAAAAAATGAAAATATCAAATCAAAAATATGATATGATTCTTCTGAACCAAAAATTATTATCCTAAATCCGAACCCACTAGTGAATCTGACCAAATATTAATGTCGTCGCCTCTAAGCGTTTTACACCTGTGAGACTCTTGTCTTGGTGATGAGTTTGGAAATTTTCTTGAAAGTTGTCCAAATCTCAAATCACTTGTCTTAGTGATGAATTTTTGGCTTTACCTTATCGCGCTATTTAATTTATTCGCATTATGATCATGATAAAAGATAAAAACTTATTGAATGCAGGAGGTGGAGGAATTCAAGAAGGTTGAAGTGATTATATATGCTCTCATCATCAGTTCCAGAATGTTTTAGATCATCTTTGGAGTACATTGAGTTCCAGAGTGATTATGCTCTGCTTCTTGTGAAGTTGTTGCTCAACTTGAAGAGACTTCTCAAACTATATATATAATATAACCACAGGTTTTTTGCAGTTTCCCTTTTAGGAAAGTTAGGATTTGGATTTGATGTTATGTATACTTGGAAGAACTGCTTTTTTTTTTTTATTCTTCTTCTTCTTTACATATCCCAAAAGCCATTGTTAAAGAATCATTTCTGAAGAAGAGAGAATCTATAGACGACTCTTTGTAGTGAATCTGTGAGGGCAGCAATAATCGCCGGCTACTGGTCTCGTCGGCGGTGAAGTATCTCCGGTGACTTTTCTATCTCTCTTTCAGCATTCAATTTGAAATCAAAATCGTTTCATTGAAACTTTCGATTTCAAATTTTTGTTTTTGTTGCCCCTAATAGTAGGGGCGGCTCAACAAAGGCCAAAAAAATTTTGGGTCTTGTGCAAAAAATTTTAACTTTTTTTTAAAAATGGTCTATATTTGCTAAAATATAAAATTTTGGGTCTTTTTATATATAATTTTAATAATTTTTGGGCC